GAGGTGCAAGGGGGGTCAATTGAAGCCCCTTCGTTGAAAAATTACACTACATAGATAGGAAAAAATGTTTTTTTTTGCATGTATGTAAGTTGTTGTATCTCCTTGGCATAAGATTTTTTTTTTGTTTGAATCCCCTTACTTGAATTCTTGGATCCACCACTGTTTATAGGGCGTGTTTCAATTGAACACCCTTCTTGTTGTATCTTGGTTAGAGCTTAAACACTTTTAAATATGGCTGATGCTGTTGGACCGTTAAAAAAGGAAGAGTCAACATGTAGTTTAGGCTTAGTGTTTGTATGTTCCTAATATTCAAATAACTATATTCTTCAAATTAGTTAGTTATTTGCCAGTGTTCCAGCTGGCATCTCGCTGCAAGTTCTGTTCAGAAAGGGTAAAATTTCTCTTGGAGTTTATTCTATGAGACAGTAACAAGGACTAACTGATGTACTTTTCCATATCAGGAATAAACCAGGATGGTAGCAATGATGGACCAGGAATGAGTGAATTGGATCCACAGTTGAAGGAACTCTTTCTTCCTTTCCGAGTATTTTGTACACGTAAAGATGTTAGTATTCAATCTCGAAACTTCAAACGAATTCATAATGAACCTGCAAACATAGATCAAGAATCAATCTTTGGCATTTAGAATTGTTTATTTTCATAGTCATTTCCTTATCCTTTCTAACATAGATTCTTCGCATCAATAAATAACAGATTCAATGTCATGATGTTGTGCTAGAGGATGCCGATGTGGTCAAAGCAATCATTGAATATATTAATCGAACAGCTATAGAAGTACTAATTCTTGGTGCAGCAGCAAAAGGCGGCCTTCTCAGGTATGATGACTCTCTCTATGCATTGATATTTGTACTTGTTGGAAAGGCGCCAAAAACATTTGGGACAGAGGGAGCAACTTGAATGATGTATCTCTTGAAAGAAGGAATTACCTAGATGAGCAACTTGCATTATATGTATAGTCACAGTTTCAGTTAATTTGAAGCTATATTTGTTAAGTAATGCATAAAACACACTAGCAAATTTGATTCCGAAGTTAAATCAGAAGTTTGTGAAGAAGAAAAGCGAAGATTTGCATCTGCATTTTATTGCACTATTCTAACATGGACCGTGTTTTAGTTATGTGTTTTATATTTGGAAGAAAATAGCATCTTCAGAAGGACTAATTACAGTCGCCTTTCTGCACATCAGATTTAAAATCAAAGATATTCCTGGAAATGTGTTAAAAGGTGTTCCTGATTTCTGCACTGTGTATGTCATCTCCAAATCTGGAAAGATTTCATCTACACGATCTGCTGCTCGTCTCGCACCATTTATCCACCCACTACGTCACCAGTTCACGCAGAATGCCAACGTCAAATCTAATTCAATTGAAGATTCTAATGTCCCTCCCAGAGGTATGCAAACACTAGAAGCAAAATTTTCAATTGAGCTCATTTCGTAGTGAAACGTTAATCATGATATGTTTCGAATAGGTTCTATATCTGGGATTCCAAAGCCTGTATCTGATATACCCATGTCCAACCTTCATAGTGATACATTCAACATGAAGTAAGTCAAATTATCTTCACTTCCTACTCAAAATGTATCGTGTTTTTATTACAAAAATCAACTTCTTAGTAAGGACAATGTTGCATATTTTCTCATTCCGAGGCCTAAGTTGTTTATCACTGTTGTAAACAGGTCCCCTTTCACTCATAGGAAAGGCCCAAATGGCAAACCATATGAGATTTCTCAGCCAGATACTGACATATCCTTTGTCAGTTCTGGTAGGCCAAGTATTGACAATATGTTTCCTTCATTTGCTGACACCTTTGATAGCGGAGCAACCCCACCCCGGCTATCAGGTTTCTCTGATTATGAGGGGCAAAGTTTTGAACCCATGCCCATGGGGCGCAGATCGTTGGACATCATGCCATCAGAGATGTCATTTCTCTCAATGGAGGGTGATAGACCATCATTCTCCTCGACACCGGTAGGCAATCAAAGATATCATTTTGAGCTTTTGGAAACTATAGATACTAAGATCAAAATTGCTACACATTATCTTTAAGCATAATTATTACTCCAAGCACTTGAGTTTCTAAAGGGCTTTTCGTTTCATTTTGAAGGATGACGTAGCAGCAGAAATGAGAAGGCTGAAACTGGAGCTCAAGCAAACAATGGAAATGTATAGTACAGCTTGCAAGGAAGCACTCACAGCACAACAAAAGGTAGAAAATTTCCAACTTGTTGTGCACCTTTGTGATTTGCATCAATGACTTAACATGTTGTCAACTGTAGGCAACAGAACTCCAGCGCTGGAAAGCGGAAGAACAAAGAAGAATAGAAGAGGCTAGATTTGCAGAAGAAGCTGCATTAGCACTTGCAGAGAAGGAAAAGGCAAAATCTAGAGCAGCCCTTGAGCATGCGGAGGCAGCTCAGAGGCTTGCAGAACTAGAATCTCAGAAGAGAATTAATGCAGAAATGAAAGCTCTAAAAGAAGCAGAAGAGAGGAATAAGGTACTAAATAAACTTTCAAATTCAGATTTCAGGTATAGAAGGTATTCGATAGAGGAGATCGAATCTGCAACGAACTACTTTGCTCAATCTAATAAAATTGGAGAAGGAGGTTATGGACCAGTGTACAAGTGTTACATGGACCACACACATGTTGCAGTTAAGGTCCTTCGCCCTGATGCAGCTCATGGAAGACAACAATTTCAACAAGAGGTATAAAGCCAATAATACTCTTATAAATTCTTCGAGATGTACTTAATCGTCAGTAGATAAATAATGCAACAGTCCACTGAAGTACATCGAAAATAGTTTAATTAAAACAAGATGAATGGCTTTATTGGTATGTTGATGGCACCAGAACAGGACAACAATATAATTAGCATCCATTTCCAGTCAATAATTGCTATATAGTCTGCAAACGAAAAAAAGATGCATCGTAAAGATAGAACTAAAAAAAAAGATGCATCTTCATGTAATTCAACTTATAAGCGGGTAATTAGGACATAAGAGTTCTGTCTTTCTGTTCATAAATGAACATCATATGTAGCATTGTATCCCCTAATCTCACTCACCCTCTTCTTTCATTGCAGGTTGAAGTATTGAGCTGCATACGACATCCTAATATGGTGCTTCTTCTAGGAGCATGTCCCGAGTATGGGTGCTTAATATATGAGTTTATGTCCAACGGAAGCTTAGAAGACCGTCTATTCCAGAGAGGAAATTCACCAGCACTCTCTTGGCAGCATAGATTTAGAATTGCTGCTGAAATAGGTGCTGGTCTTCTTTTCTTACACCAAAGCAAACCAGAACCAATAGTGCACCGTGATCTAAAACCAGCAAATATTCTACTAGATCGAAACTTTGTGAGTAAGATTAGTGATGTTGGTTTGGCTCGGCTTGTCCCTCCATCAGTGGCAGATACTGTAACTCAGTATCGAATGACATCAACTGCTGGAACTTTCTGCTATATAGACCCCGAATATCAGCAAACGGGGATGCTTGGTATAAAATCTGATGTCTACTCTTTAGGTATCATATTCTTGCAGATACTAACAGCCAAGCCACCTATGGGTTTAACTCACCATGTTGAGAGGGCAATCGATAAAGGTACATTCAACGATATGCTTGATTCATCCGTTCCTGATTGGCCCCGTGATGATGCTTTAAGCCTTGCTAAGTTATCACTCAAATGTTCTGAGCTAAGAAGGAAAGATAGACCAGATCTAAGCAAGGTTATTATGCCGGAATTAGAGAGATTGAGAACACTTGGTGAAGAAACTCCATGCCAAACAGGATTCTATAGTTCAAACCACTCAACAAATCCGAGTCAAGCTTCCGTCTCCCAAGCAAGTCAACACGAATAGATTAACAACATTAGATCTTCGACGAATACTTAACTTGTTAGTAGTGGTATGACTATATACTATATTCACATATTCTGTTCTTTTGATACAATGTGTCATTCTTGACACAATTTTCACCATAATTCGTGCAGGACAAAACTTTAGCTACCAAAACAAGATGTAATATGGCTCTGAGAGCTCGACGATCGCATTGATCGTGAAGCACAGTCTTCCTCATAGATTAGTAGAGAATAGTTCTAAAGTTCTCAAGAGGGAAGAGCCAAAAGAGAAGTAAAGAAAAAAATTTGAAGTGATTGTTTTTATAGTATAACAAAGGATTGTACATTTTCCATCCTTATATAATAGTGAAAATAGCATTTTTAGTCCTGAATTTATTATTCTATTTCGATTTTGATTCCGGTATTGTTCAATTGTACACATTTGGTTGTTAATAAATCCAAATGTGCAACTTTGGTCCCTCTCTAGTCTAAATCATCTATCTCTCAGGACATTTTTATGAGTCGCGTTTGACTAAATTATCCTTATTTCTTCTTTGCATGAGTTCATCTTTAAAATTATATGAAAACGAAATACTATGTAATTAATAGGTCAATCTCTTTTTATACATATATAATTACATATTATATGTTGAATCTTCTAGACGTTTTGTGTATTTGCTTTTTCATATTTTGACTTTTCAGTGAAACTTTTAGTTCCGCCATCACTAATAAAAAGTAGAAACAAATAAAGACTTGTATTCCAAAAGCAAAGTAGGACATTTTGTAACCCAATTAGGAAAGAACAAACATCTTTTATTAATCAACAAACTCGTAACAAATCATACATTTAAAATCCAATAATAGAAAGAAAGAAAAAAAAAGTATACACGAATACATGAGATGTGAGCTTCCTTTAATTTTTCTAACTTTGATCACATATATCTACCCTTTAATAAAAATAAAAACACAAAAAATTCCATTTTACACAAAATTCTACCTTTTCACAACCCCTTGGAATTAAAAAAAAAACTCCAACCAACGTTCCCTTACCTTTGTAACGTCATCAGAAATATAAGATTTTCGACATGAAGGAATATATATATTCGTCGAAATTTCACATTTTTTTTTATGTATAATATTCTTACTAAGCATTCTTAGAAAAGGAGAAATCATCATCAGTGATGGCTTTAGAAGAATACATTTCTCCTTGATCACTTGTATAATAATAATTAGAAGAATAATCTTCTTCATCATTTTCTTTCAATTCTTCAATTTTGTGTAAAGCTTCCATTAAATCCCATCTCTTTCCAACATCCATTTCACAACAAGACATTCCAATTTTCAATAGCTTAAGCATTTCACCTTCACAATTATGTTTTGTTGTGTTCATGTCTTTATCAAAAACCTCACCTGTCCATTCTTCTCTTACTACTGAATTCACCCACATTGCTAAGTCTGCATTTGCACCTTTGCCTTGCTTTAGATAATTAGCTGGAAACCTGTGTTAATTAAGCTTAATATTTAATAACATGCTTTTATAGTAATAATATAAATGTCATGTATAGTACTTAAAAGTCTTCCTTTTTCTTAAATTATCCAGTCAAACATTTCTACCCTCACATCTTAACCCGAATGAGGCGATCAAAAAAGTCGTGCACAACTAACATTAGTGATATGAGGTTCCTTTTTATTTCACAAGTTAGTGGATCAAAATTTGTGAACCTAAAATGTAAATATTTGGTTCCTTGTCACTATATGAAACTCAAAATGAAGTCATTTGTGTTGGTATATGCACAAAATGATCTTGATAATTGCATACTAAGATGTATAACTTTGACATATAAGGTTAAAGTACTAAAAAATTTGTAATTAATACTACCTTTTAAAGGACTTGTAAAGTAAAAAAGCAACAAATAATTTGTGATGGAGAAAGCATGACTGTCTCTATGTGAATGTCAGATACTTTATGCACCAGACTGTCTTTCAAAGATGGGGATGAAGTATTATTACCTGCCGGTTAGTAGCTCAAGGATGAGGATGCCAAGGCTCCATACATCAGTTTTTCTTGTGAGACGTTCATTTTGCATGTACTCTGGTGATTTGTAAGCCACCATGAACTGTTTGGCATGGTCTTTGTTGATTACTGGCACAAGAGCATAGTCTGCTACAAGTGGCTCAAATTTGTGGTCGAGAAGAACATTTGAAGATTTAAGATGTCCATGTGGGAGTGTTAGTGTTGGAAGTTCCTTGTAAAGATAAGCCAATCCCCTTGTAACTCCTTTTATGATTTTCAAACGACTTGGCCAATCAAGACTTGGTTGGTTAGGACTTCTTTTGCCTGATCAACAAATACCAAAATTAGTTCATATGAACGAGAATTGCAAAGTCAACCTCAAAAATTAGTGCAAGAGGCGGGCTGGATATATATCTGGAGCATGGGTGAGGCCCAACATCGTGAATGAGAATTGAGATGAGTCCTGCTCTGATGTCATGTTATGGATCTTAAGTTTAATACGACCTCAAAAACTAATTTAAGTACATAATAATTACTCAATCTATATATAAAGAGACCATTCATCTCATAATTGACCAAGGTGGAACTTCTTCAATGTTTTTACACTAATAAATCTTCTAAAAAAATTACTATATATGTTAAAATATAAAAATAGTGTAACATTTCTTTATATGATCAATATATATAAGTTAAATTCAATAGGAATTAATTTTAATACATTGGCAATACAAACAATTTTACACTATTGACTTCATTTTGAGATAACTAGCTAACTTCAATTTTTATGTACAACTATCTATAATTATTGTAAAGGATCTTTAATCTGTATAAAAAGTTTAAACTTTTTTATAATTTAATACTTTAAATGATCTCATTGCTTCATACAAATTGAGACAGATATCATGCTTGACTTGAGTGGTTAAAATTTATTTGCACTCGATGTTTATGTTAAATTAATAAATATATACCATGTATTTTTATACACATATCTATCATCTAACTATAATTAAGTGACATGTATTAATGTCACTTTAAGTTTTACCCTCACTGTTCCTAATAAGTGTTGATTTAGCTCATTTCAGACCTATTATGAAAAATAACAAATACTACAAGACATATGTTACTAAATTATACTTATTTATTAGATGTTTCTTGAGAATTGAGCACTATTAAAAAGAAGCAGTTTTTTTATATAAATGTATAGTAATAAACAATTACTACTATATATTGTCTTGAATTTCTAAAACGACACTTTTTTTGACATGAAAAAAGTAGCTGATTAAAATTTACATTGCATAGCTTCACGTAAATATCAGTTTTAAAATGTTGTGAAAGTACTTACCATGTAAATGACTTGCCAAGCTTCCATTATCAATAAAATCAGTAACCAAAAGCTTTTCTTCCCTCCTATAATAGAAAGCCACAAGAGGAAGAACATTAGGATGTGACAACTTGCCAAGGCTTCTCATATGTTCATGAAAATCTTCTTTGCCCATATTACTCATTTGCCTAAATCTCCTCACAACAATTGGTTTTCCAATAGGAAGATCAGCTTTATAAGAAGAACCAAAACTTCCACTTCCCAATACTTCAGCTGGTGCTCTAAGAAGATCTTCTAAATCAAACTTTTCTCTATCCCTTCTTACAAAGTATAATTTACTAGCCTTGTCATGATGACTTTTTGTGTACTTTTCTTCTCTCAGTACTGAGGGTTTTTCGTTGAGATTTTTTACTGATGATTTTTCATATTGAGTTGGTTTTTTCCTTTGTTTATGGACAAGGAAGAGAGCAAATAATATAATGGCTAATATGATTAATCCTCCAATAGATGCAAGGATTATGGCCACTATTGGGATTTTCTTTTTCTTCTTTGATGTTGCACATGCTGGCATTGGCTTACCACATATCTCCAAATTTCCTGTTTCATTCACAAAATATTAAAATTATTATATGTTCAAGATCAGTAGCGTATAAAGAATTATATGCTCAAAGATCAGTGGCGTACATAGAATTTTTAATAAGTTTCTAATTCATTGACTATATATATATATATAATGTACACAAAATTATATGCTCAAAAATCAATGACGTATACAGTATTTTCAATAAGTTTCTTTAACACTTACTATATATTAGTACTATGATTTATGATATATAAAACTTTTTAACATTTTTTTCCTGAATTTGGAAAGACAAAAGTGCAGAAGTGCAGGGGATAAACAAAATTGCCACGTACGTCTATTTAAAAGATTATATAATATAATAGATTGCAGTATAATGATGATTATTCTAATAATAATTATATTTGATATGGCTAAAGGGATCAAGAGGGTATCAATAATTGACTTAATCTAATTAGGACGTGCTCCCATGTAGTGATAATATCAATCTCTTGGGATCTTATATAGATCACTCTAATTGACATGCTATCTTCATTTCTATAATGTCTAATTGCACGATACGTATTTTTAATAGTTCGGACGAGTTAGGTCTCTCGATTCTCCCCATTGATAATCAAGACACATGTATCATCAATCACTATCAATAATTATTATCATCAGTTACCACTATATATTGTCAACTATCATTATTAGCTATCACTATCATTCATCACAGCTATCAGCCTCATCTATGAACTTACCACCATTAATCACTACAATTAGCCAACACCATTTCTGATCAACATTTACTATTATCATTGTTAGCCATCATCCCATCAACGGCACTTCATATAATTTTAAAAAAATATTTTAATATGTATTTAATTAATTAATATACAATATTTTTAAAAGTTTTATATTTAGTAATTTTAAATTTTGAAACAAAATCTATGCACTCGATTTTTATTTTTATTTTTAAGTCTTAGTTATGTAATAATCAAATTTTAATATTCATATGTATATTCATATATTCAAACATATAAATTTTAGTATACATATTAATAGGCGTAAGTTATTCAGTAATTATTTTGAAAGCGATTTCTAGTAAACTTCTTTTTGTAATATTAATAAAGTTTAACATGATAGTAAAATTTTGCTTCATCACTTTCTACCATTCCAATTCGAATTGATCAAGTCTTTCAATATTTAACGCTATCTTTATTAATTGACTTCTTAACAAAGAGTTATTAAAACAAAATTATATCAATTTTATATTGAGAGTGTGCATAACTTAAACTCAAAAAATAAATGCTAATATCATTTTTTTAAAATAGTACTATTACCATATTTACCGGATTATTAATTATTAATATTTATTAAGAGATTTACCCGTATTGCTACTAATAAGTGATCTGATAATGTACATATTTCCGTTTTGTTTTTAGTTGTTTAAAAACATGTACTATATATTTTTATTTTTTAAAACTTTTTAATTTCAACTTTTCGTTAATTAAATCATAAGATTATACGATATATCGGTATACTTGACATATTACTTCCTTTATCTCAATTTATTGGCATTTTTCAAATTTTGAGATTTAAACAAGTCTATCTTGATTGTAAATTTTTCATATATTTTTTAAATATTTTGAATTGTCAATTATTGTGACTTATAGTAATTTTTATGTAGTTTATAAATATATAAAATTTCATTTTAAAAAATTTGAAAACTTGATGAGCAAATTCCCAGTCAAACTTAAACAGTTTGACTCTCTATAAACGAAAAGTATCACATAAATCGTGATAGAGAGAGTATTAATTTAAAAAAATTCTAGGTTCAAATTTATTTATTTTTTACTTTCTTAAACTCTATGTCAAATCAAAACGAAACCATCAAATTAAAACGAGTATAACTTTCCTTGAGATAAACTCTAACCTGCAAACGAGCTTGCACTTTGGCTGCTAAGCTGAGATGGTATTGGACCTTCAAGTCTATTATTTGCAGCATTTATTTTAAAATCCTCCTGACTAAACGCCGGTATTGTTCCATTGAATTTGTTATTTTGTATCTGCAGCTCAACAAGCTTCGGAATTCCCAATAACGACGTCGGAATCTCCCCCGTAAACTCATTATTCGCCATTAAAATTCTCCTTATCGACTTCATTCCGGCGAAAGTATCGTCCGGCAACTCACCGGAAAATCGATTATTCGACAAAAACAAACCTCTCAATCGTCCTCCGATTTTCTTCACGTTCGGAAACGGACCTTCAAAATTATTATTCATAATACTTATAGTAAGCAAATTAGTCAACTGAGAAAGCGTATCGACATCGAGATTCCCCGATAATCCCATCGATTCGAGACGGAGACCGTAGAATTTTCCGTTGGAGCAAAGCAATCCGTTCCAATTTGAATTGTTGCCGGTGCAAAGTGGCACCAATGAATTCCAGTTACCGAGTGATGATGATGACGTGGCGTTTTTGAGCGAAGATCTGAATTTAAGGAGGAGAGTTGGTTCAGACTCTTGACCGTAAGATGAAGTTATCATGATCGTCGTCAGGAGACAAAACAACAAGCACCGATGGTTTCTTGTTGAAGAAGCCATCGTTTGAAGGTGGTTACGTTGCAGGTGATTTTTCTTTCTTTCTTTCGTGATTAAATTTGTATGATATATGAATAAATTGAATCGGATTTTTTTTTTTCCGATTCGATGGGAAAAAAGAAGAAGAAGGATATCGGTAATGGTGATTTCAACGCAAGTTTTATGTATATTTTTGATAATTTATTAGGAGAAAATTGCTAAGATTTTGTTGTTGAATTGACATAGATAGGCCATAGGGATACAAAACAAATTGAGTAGTGGTGAGATTGACAAGGTCTAGTAAATGATTAGCTGTATTGGCCGGCAATTTTAGTATAACTTGTTTGCCAGTTTCCAGGTATATTGTTCATATAGTTTGTACTGGTTGGGTTGTGGGGTGGGGTGAGAGGTTGACTAATGGGGATTGGAGGGAGGGGAATTTCCTTCATACTCTTGCAAAAACAATACTTGCTTTGTTTTAATTATTTTTTCGATTCTACTTTGTTTGTCATATTTTGACTTGATATAAAGTTTTAAGACTAAAACACTTTCGAATGTTATAGTTATAAACTAAAGAAATGTCACATATCAGGTTGAAAGATAGAATTAAGGAGTAACAGTAAGAAACAGTTTGTTTTAAAACGAATTTAAAAGGAAAGCAAAACAAATAAATTGAAATGGAGGAAGTACTTTTGGACCATCACTTTTTATTTTTATCATAAGTTTTTTCAAATATTTTCTAGATATGTTGATTATTAAAGATTTTATATTTGAATTTACATAAAACATTAGTTAATTTGATATTTGTACTTAGAATCAAATAAAATAAATTGAAACAGAAGAAGTATTTAATGAGCAAAAATGAATTTATTGATTTTTACCTTTCTTATTTGGATATGACTTACTCCATATCGAAAAAGTATAAACAATTTTTGCACAATCAATGAAATTTAATATGCATAAAAGGTAACTTGTGTTATTTTATGAGTTTCTAATATTACTTCTCATGCATATATATAATTAATTACGTTTTAGGTGATACAATAGTCTAAGAAAAAAGATTGTGTTATCAATGTATAGAAGTTAAATATTTTATATATTTTAAATTTTGTGTCACGCATTTTTTTAAGATTTGAGCTCGTATTACTTTTTTCTTTTTCGTTCTTTCTTTGTGTGATTATTCTTTCAAGAACTATAGTGGGTGAGATAGGGTGGTGGCTAATTCGGCCGTGGGATGATCAATGAGTGAGAGTTGGGGTAGCTCTATTGACTTTATAATTATTTTTTTATTTTCTTATTACAACCATTGATATATCTATTCATGAGAATCATGCGTGCGTCCGTCACTGATTGGATGAGTGAAATGCAGACAATGAACTTGAAAATATCTCTTTTTTCTAAGAGAAATCCTATGACCAATCAAAATTGAAAAGCATTTCTCAATAAAATGTTTTTCTCCGTACCAAACATATCCTAGAGATCTCCAAAACCTTTCGGCAAATTATTCATTTACACGTTTCTGCTTGTTCTCTTTCAACTTTTTCTTGTTATTTAGGAAGGCCAAACACCAAATGACAAATGTTGCAAAGTCTATAATTTTTATTTGAGCAATATTGATTTGATACACTTCTTAAGAAATAATAAATAAAATGATAATTTTACTATATCTTTTTTTAAATATAATAAATTTAATTTTTTAAAATGTATCTACAATTAATAATAAGGATAAATTAGAATTTAAGTGATAAATTATCTCTTTAACCTTTTAAATTGAATAAGCAAAAATAAACATTTATTTTTAGTATAGAAATAAGTAGAAGTAGTAATGGAGTACTATAGTTCAATGTAAAAAAGATAAAGCGTGTTTTTAAAAAAAATGGAGTGTGTAACTTCTCATTTTAATTCTGTGATAAATAAAATAATGTCTTGAATTTTTCTACGATTAAATTTGGCAAGTAATTGTTAATTGGTGAAAACTTGTTGGTTCTAAACTTGATTACAATTCAGAGAGAATTAGGTTTGATTATAACATGGTGAATATTTCTCAATTGCATGTTTACATTAAACCAAGTAATATAATTTTACTAATTAAAAATTAATATCAAACGAACACATATATCTTACCTTTGTAATTCCATTATTCAATGACTAGGAAAACAAAATAACATATACTTTGTATTTTCAATAACTCAATTACATTTCAGCAACTTATTTTTTTTTAGATAACTCTGATGTCTGAACCAGCTTTTGCACGCCTCGACTGATTCAACGGATATATTTCATTATTTCCTTTCTTCTACATCGAAGGTGGACATGGTGACATCGGCTTCCCACATAGGCCCAAATTTCCTGTTTCATCCACACAAAAAGTGAACACAATAAAAAATTTTATATGTATGTTTATTTTAACTAAAATTAAAAAGTATTTGGAGCATATGCATGCTCATGATTTCTATGCATTTTGCAAATACTTGGTTCTAAGGCGATTTAGGAATTTAAATAAATGAATTCAACGTTATATTTAAGTTCTTATCACTAATAAAAACCACTACACTTTTAAAAGTATATGATCCAAATTTACTGTTTGTTACTCCCTTCGTTGGAATTTATGTGAAGGAATTCAAAATACCAGGATTAAAACACTTAATTTTGACTATGAATTCGAGTATACGTCCTTCAAAATTTCCGATCAACATTTACAATTATCATTGTTAGCCATCATCCCACCAACGGTACTTCATATAATTTTAAAAAATTATTTTAATATGTATTTGATTAATTAATATACAGTATTTTTAAAAGTTTTATATTTAGTAATTTTAAATTTTAAAACAAAATCTATGCACTCAATTTTTATTTTTTTAAAAATAGTCTTAGTTATTTAATATTAAATTTTAATATTCATATGTATATTCATATTCAAACATATAAATTTCAATATACATATTAATAGGCGTAAGTTTTTCAATAATTATTTTGAACGCAATTTCTAGTAAACTTCTTTCTTGTAATAATAATAAAGTTTAACATGATAGTAAAATTTTGCTTCATCACTTTCTACCATTCCCATTCGAATTGATCAAGTCTTTCAATATTTAACGCTCTTTATTAAACCATAATATTATATGATATTTTGGTACATTTACCTTTTTGAAAATCTTTTAATTTCAACTTTTTATTATTTAAATTATAAGATAATACGATATTTTGGTACACTTGATATATTATTCTCTCAATTTATGTGGCACTTTTTGAATTTCGAGATTCAAACAAGTCTATCTTTGATCGTAAATTTTGTATATATTTTTTAAATATTAAACTGTTAATTATTGTGACTTATAATAATATTTACGTAAATTTCAATTAAAAAATTTGAAGATTTCATGCGCAAATTTCCGACCAAGTTTAAACTGTTTTTGGCCTTATCTTGCAGGTGACGTCGTGTTTAACTCTTGATAAATGAAAAGTGTCACATAATCGTGACACAGAGGGAGTACTAATTTAAATCACAATTCAAAAAAATTCTAGATTCAAAATTTTCTTTACTTTCTTAAACTCTATATCAAATCAAAACGAAACCACCAAATTAAAACGAGTATAACTTTCCTTAAGATAAACTCTAACCTGCAAACGAGGTTGCACTTTGGCTGCTAAGCTGAGATGGTATTGGACCTTCAAGTCTATTATTTGCAACATTTATTTGAAAATCCTCCTGACTAAACGCCGGTATTGTTCCATTGAATTTGTTATTTTGTATCTGCAGCTCAACAAGCTTCGGAATTCCCAATAACGACGTCGGAATCTTCCCCGTAAACTCATTATTCGCCATTAAAATTCTCCTTATCGACTTCATCCCGGCGAAAGCATCGTCCGGCAACTCACCGGAAAATCGATTATTCGACAAAAACATACCTCTCAATCGACCTCCGATTTTCTTCACGTTCGGAAACGGACCTTCAAAATTATTATTCATAATACTTATAGTAAGCAAATTAGTCAACTGAGAAAGCGTATTGACATCGAGATTCCCCGATAATCCCATCGATTCGAGACGGAGACCGTAGAATTTTCCGTTGAAGCAAAGCAATCCGTTCCAATTTGAATTGTTGCCGGTGCAAAGCGGCACCAATAAATTCCAGTTTCCGAGTGATGATGATGACGTGGCGTTTTCGAGCGAAGATTTGAATTTAAGGAGGAGAGTTGGTACAGACTCTTGACCATAAGATGAAGTTATCATGATCGTCATCACGAGACAAAACAACAAGCACCGATGGTTTCTTGCTGAAGAAGCCATCGTTTGAAGGTGGTTACGTTGCAGGTGATTTTTCTTTCCTTTTTTCGCGACTATATTTGTATGATATATGAATAAATTGAATCGGATTTTTTATTTTTTTTTCGATTCGATGAAAAAAAAAATAAGGAAGGATATTGGTAGTAGTGTTTTCAAGACAAGTTTTATGTATATTTTTGATAATTTATTCGGAGAGAATTGCTATGATTTTGTTGTTGAATTGAGATAGATAGGGCAGAGGGATACAATAAAACAAATTGAGTAGTGGTGAGATTGACAAGGTCTAGTAAATGATTAGCTGTATTAGCCGGCTATTTTAGTATAACTTGTTGCCAGTTTCCAGGTATATTGTTCATATAGTTTGTACTGGTTGGGTTGTGGTGGTGGGGTGAGAGGTTGACTAATGGGGATTGGAGGGAGAGGAATTTCCTTCATGCATGCTTTGTTATTAAAGAAACTTGAGATCTTTCACCTTCTTGCAAAAACAATAGTACTTGGTGTTTTTTTTTTATTCCTTTCGTTTTAATTTGTTTGTCATATTTTAACTTGATATAGAGTTTAAGACTAAAAGACTTTTGAATCTTGTAGTCATTAAGTAAAGAAATATCAAATGTATTAAAATGTCACATATCAGGTGGAAAGTTCAAATTAAGGAGTTGCTAAAAAACAATAAGAAACAGTATGTTTTAAAACGAATTTAAAAGGAAAGTAAAACAAATAAATTGAAATGGAG